TGTCCAAGAGTGATTATCCTGGCTCAGACAGGAAAAATAGCTGATTGACCAAGAAACTAGGAAACAGTCCTCATTTGTGCAACTGCACTTTCTCAATAAACCTCATGAATATGAGGAGGTGAGAGAGTTATTGAAAAGAGGAGCGAGAAAAAATTATTTTAAAGACTTGCTTTTAAATTTGCAGTATGATAGTCACTACAGTTTTGTTGGTATTGTCTTATCTACATCTGACTTGAGGAACAGCAATTTACTAACTACTAGATCACAAGATTGGGACAGCCCCATTGAAAAAAAATACTTAAGCTGTATTTTTATGGACATGTTCACAGAGAAAGGAATATTATCCCATCATTTTGGATTTATGGTTGTAATTAGCTTCAGGTTTAAATTTTATTGATGGAGTGTTCTGTATAACTTAGAATACCATGATCAAAGCTAAAAAAAAGAAAATGTTGGAAATACTCAGTCGGTCTGGGGGCACTAGTGCGAAGAGAGACACAGTTAATCTTTCAGGTCAAAGACAAAGTTCTGATGAAAAATGATAGACTCGAAATATTATCTCTGTTCCCACGTCATAGATACTGTCAGACCTTTTGAGCATTTTCAGGATTTTCTTTTTTTTTATTTTAGATTTCCAGAATTCCCAATATTTAACTTTGGTACATAGAACATAGAACAGTGCAGCACAGTATAGGCCCTTTGGCCCACGATGTTGTGCCGACCTATTATCCTACTAAGATCAATTCAGAAAGTATTTTATAGGGTGTAGAACATATCTATATACATATAGATATACTACTTTGGAAAACATCTATGACTTGTGGAGCTGCAGAAGGTCTATAAAAAGGCAATCTACAAAACAAAGAGCCTACTGTAAGCAGCATCTCTCTGTAAAATGTATTTATTTGGCGAAAGTTCACTGAGAAGGTTCTAGATGAATTAAGTATGGAACCATACTGGATATATGCCAACCTATGTATTCGAACTTCACTGAAATATTTAAATGCAGTAATTTTACAGTTATGAAAATGACAGAATATTTTTGGGACACAGACATACTGATAAGAGATTTTAACGATTGTATCTTTGATTGTTTTGGAATTCTGCCTGTAGACATCGGACTAACATTCCTCCCAAACCAAATCAAACACTGTTCTGTTTGTTACCTAGTTAAGTTTCCAGGGAGAAATATTAAAAAGACACAGAGGCTTTTGAAAAATGCTAAAATTTGGTGTGCAGGAAAATTAGGGAAGACAGGTAAAAACAGGTAGGAAATCATTGGAAAAGCATAGAGAACCAGGGATGTAAGCCTGTAATCATTGTAACTGTAATGGAAGTATGGTGGTGTTTGGATTCCATTTACATACAGTAATAATAATAAATCCAGAATCCCATATCATCTGCCCAAAGAGGGAACTCAGTTTGCCTCTCTTCAGAATCAACTGAGTCATGGCACCCAATTTACAATGCAAGTTCAGACTCAGTGTGAAGTGGTTCTGGCTTTATTCTATCTTCTAAACTTGTGAAGTAAGATGACCCAAATGTTGTCGAGAACATTCCAGATAACAGCATGTATTTTTTTCAAATAAAACAGTAAATGCTCATCCCATTTCAAAATATCAATGGTAAATCAGAAACAGAATATTCCAATATGATACACTTGAAGTTTTAGGAAGATCTATTCAGTGGCCACCCCACAGGGGAACCACAAAAATGTCAATCATTGCTTAAGTCAGCCGTAGAAAGCTCTGCCCATTCTGAGGCTGGCCTGACGTAAGACCAGTCACCTTGAGACAACTCCATGGTATGTTCAGGTCATAATCAGGAGTGTCCGTGGCGAACTTGTCAACATTAATTTCTGGCGATGCAAGTTCCATTTACACACTCCATAATAAACTGCATCAAAGCTACTTCCAAATAAGGCTAACTTATACACACATATATGACAAGCTGGACTAGCAGAAATCCCTCGGGACACAGCTCCAAATTACACTCTGTCTGCATCTTGTAACTAACACCAATAGAACAGTGCGAAGTCCTTTCAATAATCGTTAGATTACCAAACACTGCTCAAAAGCATCAGAAATCATAAATAAAAACCACTAATCAGAATATTCTTTTTTATTTAACCTAGTTTCTTAATCAACCTGTTCAGAGATTACACACCTCTGGAGCAGGTGGGACTTGAACCTGGGCCTCTCAGTCCAGAGGTAGGCACATTACTACTGCACCACAAGAGGGTCCCTCAAAGCATGGGGTCATTCTTTATATTTTTCCTTAACAATCTATTTGATAATGCAATTACACACCTTCTGGAGCAGGTGGGACTCAAATCTAGGGTATTCCAGCTCAGAGGTGGTGGCACTACCACTACACCACAGAGCTGCCCATCAGGATACATTATAGATACCTGTACCTTATGGGTAACATATGCTGCATCACCTATCGTTTTGATTTGGTTTTGAACTAGCTATTTGTTATACATTTGTTTACCAATCTTAACTGGATTGGTCATAAAGCAGAGTGCAAGCAGGCTTTTCCCACAGTGGTAGCAAAATTTAACCACAAGCAAGTCATCTTTAAAAAATAGAGAAGAAAATGGTTCAATCAAGGCTTTAGGGACAGTATTATTTCTATTTGATAATCAGGAACATAACACTATTTTAACCCAGGTATTTTGAAGTAAAGAGCACATTGTTAAGGTGATTCATGAAGATACAAAAAGACAATTTGAAAATATCTTTCAGGTTCACAATACAGAAAGACATTAAACTTAATGACTACTGATTAGTGGTAATTTACAAATGTAGTTCTAAGCTCTCAGTGGCTCACAACTGCAACTGCCCACCCCTACTATTATTACTCCACCTTTTCCACCTTCAACTTCTTACACCAACTTCACTATAAAGTTCATTAACAGTAGAGTTAATTTTAAGTACTTTCCAGTAGCACAGAGTGGCTCAGACTGAGGTCAACAGGAATGCATTTAATATGACCATCAGAAATAGGAACAGGAGTAGGCTGGTCGGCTTATCGAGCCTGCTGTACCATTCAACAGGATCATGGCTGATCTGTCATTCCTCACATCCACTTTCTTGCCCTTGATTTCCCGATTGATCAAGAATCTATCTACCTCAGCCTTATAAATATACACAAAAAACTCTGCCAGCACATCTCTCTGCAGCTAGGAGTTCCAGAGATTCACAATACTCTGAAGAAGAAATTCCTCTTCACCTCAGTCTTCAGCTGGTCCCCCTTTATTTTGAGACTATGCCCTCTGGTCCTGGACTCTTCCATGAGGGGAAACATCCTCTCAGAATTTATTCTGCAAAGCCCCTTAAGAATCCTTAAGGTTACCTTTCATTCTTTTAAATTCCAATAAATAGTCCTGTTGATTCACAAGACAATCCCTCCATACCAGAGGTCATCCTGGTTAAATTTCTCTAAACTGCCTCAAATAAAATAATATCTTTCCTTAAGTAAGGGAACCAAAACTGTTCTCAGTATTCCAGATGTGGTCTCACCAGCACCTTGCACAGTCACGGTAAGACTTCCCTGTTCTTTTACTCCAACCCTCTTGAAATAAGGGCGAATATTCCATTAGCTTTCCTGATTATCTTCTGCACTTTGAGCACTAGTACCTCCAAGTACCTTTGGTTGCAGCTTTCTGCGGTTTTCCTCTATTTAAATAATACTCTGTTCTTATGTTCTCCCTCTTTTAAAATGATACTACTGGCAAGGTACATTCTGTATTATCAGTTTGTATTCCTGAAAGTGCAAATCAGGAGTTATACTGTTAATGTCAGAAATTGTATCTACTTTCTCTGTAGGTACAACTTTTAAGAATTCCATGCAATATTTGTTTCAGTGCCAAATATGAAGTTCAATAATGTAGCAATGTGGGCATGTATGAGCATGAATGTACATGGTGAAAGGTTGCATCCCTACATGATTATACAAAGCTCAAGAAACTGAATTCTCAGCATTGTAAGTACTTTTTCCATTAACATTACAATAGCAATTTCCATAAGAATGGAATTCATTTTAAGCAAAAATAAACACAAAATCCTGAAAAAAATCACCAAGTCAAATTGTATTTGTGAATACTTTTAACTGTTTCTCTCTGTATAAATGCCAGTTAGCCCTGTAGAGTGTTTTCCAGCATTTTCTTTTGTTTTTATATCAGATTTCTAGCATTCACTCTTTTGTTACTCTTTTGTTTTAAACTTCTTCAGCGTTTTCTCCCATGTCTTCCGGATAAGAGAGAGATAATATTCCCTCCTTTCAATCTTCTCCTCCTTCCATGCACTGGAGACAGCTGTATTATGAGGGAGATAGCACTTTGAAATATTAACTCAAAGTCTGCAAGTTCAATGGGTGCTGGTCTGTTTTGCCTCTTCTCACTTCCCTGTTGTAAACAGAACAACTCTTGTACTGATAATGGACATTCAGCTCTCCTTTTAAAGCTACTACCTCGCCAACTACCGTGGGACAGGATACGCGAATATCCTGTATCCAGTCCAAACGGCACCAGGAATGTGCTGGTCAAACCTTAAATGACTTCCTGTCATATTCTGCATTGTACTCTATTGGCAAAACGGTAACTATTTACTCACGGTCACGTTTCCCAGCCCTCTCTTCTGGGGATGCTTGCTCCCTTATTAACCTTCACTTTTTTCTGCAACCCGAAATTAACTTTTGCATAGTTTTGATACTTTACAGTTCCAGTCTGGAAATAACTTGTTTGGAGTTTGATGAACTCTCTCTAAAGCATTGCATTGCTCACGTGTCCTCAGCTTTTACTTGCTGTATTCCCTTCCTGTCTGTTTCGACCTCTTCTGTCAATGGACTCCCCCAGCCCGATAACAAATCTGACCCGCTGTACGCATTCTAAAGGCTTTTTGTTTCTTTTTGTTCCCCCAGATGCTGGTCGAGTTGTTGTCTGTTTTTATTCCCAGTTCAGGCAGTAACAGAATCGAAACCCTCCCACCGTGCCTTGTCCCGCCCAGAAAGTTCGCCTGGCTCAATCAGGCCCGGCACTTTAAACTCTGCCAGCTGTTAGCAGCAGCCAGTCCCCACAGAGCGGCTCACACTGAGCTCTCGGGATCACCAGCAACAGCCAACGCTGTTGTATTCCTCCTCGACTGTAAGTGTTTTCGGATTGCGATTTTTTTTGCTAGTAATCATTTGTCGGTGTTTACTGTGCCACGAGAAGCATCTGTAAATTGCGCTGGAGTTAGTTCAGTAACTTCCCAAACTTTCATACCGGCTTGCACATTCCGTCTACCACAGAAAATCTCACTTTCTTCCTGACATATGTTTAAAATCGAAATATTGGAGGCTTTCCTTTCTCCGGGTAAACACTTTCAGTACATAAAAACGCAAATATTTGATGAGGGGTTGGGTATTAACAACAAGTGTTTTAACTGTTTGTTTCTTTTCCCCTGTCATCAGGGCTCTTGCCGATTTTCGGTTGTGGTCCGGAACGTGTAATCCACGAGATTCCTGATGACTTTTGTGAACTCTGCGACATCCCGAGCCGTTTACTGACACTTGGTGAATCTGTCCGAAGGGCATCGACAATCCTGCACTGTACAGGATACTCCACCCAGTCTCCTCCGCCAGCTCGCATACCGACGGTTCGCTGCATTCAATGCAAAGTGCAGCATCAACTGACCCAAAGGAACAGCCAGTCATCAGATCAAACATCAGTCATTTATTCAGCAGTTAAACTCCATGAATTTCCTCGGGACCGATGTTCAGGTATGTTCTGACCGACTAGTCATTCTGAGGTTCTAAGAAGAAGGTTGAAGAAGTAAACACCGGTTAGAAGACTGAGCAGAATGGATGTGGGGCACGCAGCAGTTGACACCTCACTGAGCCCCAAGTTCAGCGAATATTATAACAATGAGACGGTTGTCTTGCACTATAATTACACTGGGAAACTGACTCCGACCCGATACCAGGCGGGGTTGAAGGTTCACGCGATCGTGTTTCTAATAGTTTGTCTTGTTATAATATTTGAGAACTTACTGGTTCTCATCGCCATCTGGAAGAATAGCAAGTTCCACAAGCCCATGTACTATTTGCTGGCCAACCTGACTCTATCTGACATGCTGGCAGGAGTCGCTTACATGGTCAACATCTTGCTGTCCGGTGCCAACACACTGAAGCTGACCCCGATCTTGTGGTTCTTGAGAGAGGGGGGCGTTTTTATCACACTCACAGCCTCCGTCTTCAGTCTCCTGGCCATCGCGGTGGAAAGGCATGTCACCATGGTGAGAATGCAACTGTACAATACAGATAAGAAGTGGCGGATACGTCTCTTTGTGGCTGCAGACTGGACTATCTCGGTGTTCCTCGGAAGTCTCCCAATCATGGGGTGGAATTGTATTGGGAACTTGTCAGAATGCTCCACAGTGCTGCCACTGTACTCCAAGAAATATATTCTAGTTTGCATCTTGATCTTTTTATCAATCTTGTTTGCAATCGTTATATTATACGTTCGGATTTATCGTTTAGTGAAATGCAACAATCCTATGGAAGGCACATCGAGAAGCATGGTGTCCAGAAGGTGTCAGAAATATTTGGCGTTACTCAAAACTGTTACCATTGTGGTGGGCACCTTCATCGCCTGCTGGTTGCCGCTCTTCATCGTGCTGCTTCTGGATGTTTCATGCACAGCAGGGACTTGCAGGATTCTTTATAAAGCTGATTATTTCCTGGGGCTGGCCATGATTAATTCAGCACTGAATCCCATCATTTACACTCTGACCAGCAGAGACATGCGCCGGGCCATTGTGCGCCTGTTGTGCCTGACCAAAGAAGGAGAACAGGCTAAGTGCTGCGGGATCTTGGTCTCTGAATGCAGCAGCAGTCAGATAGACAGGTCATCTCACAGGCATGAGCCCCTCCATACAACTCTGTCCTCTGGCAACGGACCTCAATCACCTACGAGAACCTCAGTCGCCTGACTTGGATGGCCGCAGTGTCCAGATTAACACTGACCTCAGACAGGCAGCACTTGTTGGCCGGGAAACTACACCCACTTTCTGCGTCTTGCGTTGTAGGGATGACCGGAGTTAATAAACCTGCCCGGTGCCCAATTAGGAGAGTGCTGATGTGTGGCAGGAACAGAAAACAGAACAATTGTGGGCAGCCTGATACCATAGCCTGGCTTCTTGTTGGCATTGAAAACCTTTCGCAGGTTTCAGCACAGCTTAGAATGTCTAAGAGTTGATGTAACATATTTCCAAAATCGTTTGCTTGTTTTAAAATGAAATTTGATTGATGTAGACCAATATGAGGTTGTTAAAAGAAACGCTTTTAATAATATCAGCAGCAGATAACTCAGCCTGTACCTGCGATAATCCAGCCTCGCATTGGCTCCATGAAATAAAAGTAACCAATTAGGCACATAAATTCAACAAAACTCAACTTTAAAGATGTAAAAGGAAGTTCGTGATGACTCCACCCTCGTGTTGCAAGACACAAAGTTGTATAACGAGTATCGAATATTGAGAATCAGTGCTAGAAACTAGCTTTCCGCCTTCCGATGTGACATTCTTTGTAGGAATCCAGTTAGCTCTGCTCACACAGCACTTTGTCATTCTGAAATACAATCTCCCCCCCCCCCCCCCCCCCTCCCCACTCTGTGACAGTTTGAACCCCGGAGTAAATGCACCGCGGGAAAAGGCAGCGAACATATATTTCAATTCAGCTCGACTCCAGATTATAGCAACAAATTCCTCCGAAGAGTGTAGCCGAAGGAGGTTTAAACCGATTAAAATTTAAAGCAACAGCAAGTATTAAACATTTCTGGTAACTGCAGAATAATGTTGCATTAAACTAATAGGGGAGTAATATATTGAATATATTTAAGGAGAGATTGAGTAAATCTCGGTATGATTATTACTCAATTGACAATGCCATTTGAAATGTTAAAGACATAAACTGTGAAGCCAAAATTAACTGCTATGCGCTCAATACATTGCTGCCCATGTTCCTTAGCAAAAGGAGAAGAGCGGGCCAGAGGGTCACAGTTGAACACACGCACTTGCAAAGTCAAGATAGGATCAATGCTCTTGCCTTCCCATCAAGGATGAAAAGTTCCTACTGATTCACACATTTCCACTTTGAGCTGTTAACTCTTTTCCAAGGTTCACCTGGCTGCTATACTAAAATAGCTGGTTAACAGTAAAGCTGGAGGAACACAGCAGGCCAGGCAGCAGCAGAGGAGCGGGAAAGCTGACGTTTCGGGTCGGGACGGGACCCTTCTTCAGAAATGAAGAAGGGTCCTGCCTGACCCGAAACGTCAGCTTTCCCGCCTGCCTGGTCTGCTGTGTTCCTCCAGTTCCACACTGTGTTATCTCAAACTCCAGCATCGGCAGTTCTTACTATCTCTGGTTAACAGTAAATCCTGGCTGGTGCTTGGAGTCCCAGAATGTCATCACAAAGTTGTTATCCCAAATAAAAGTGGGCTGGAGGAGCAGTTTAGGAAATAGCCAGCGCTATTCTAGACTGAAGTATCTTCCTACTGGACCTGTCAGCTTGGTGCAGGTGAGCTGGGGGAAGTTTCAGTTTCAAATAATTTAAATACATCAGAAGCTAATCAACTATCTTTTTACAGCTAGATAATTCAAGCAGCAACTTATAGACGTCATTGTAGTTCTGACCAGATTGCTCTCAAGGAAACGAAGGGTGAAACATAGAAACATAAAAGATAGGAGTAGGAGGCCATTCAGTCCTTAGAGCCTGCTCCACCATTCATCACAATCATGGATGATCACCCAATTCCATAGCTTAATCCTGCTTTCTCCCCATAACCTTTGATCCCACTCATCCCAAGTGCTATATCTAGCCGCCTCTTGAATACATTCAATGTTTTGGCATCAACTACTTCCTGTGGTAATGAATTCCACAGGCTCCCCACTCTTTAGGTAAAGAAATGCCTCCTCATCTCCGTCCTAAATGGTCTATCCCAAATCCTCAGACTGTGACTCCTGGTTCTGGACACACTCACCATCAGGAACATGCTACCTGCATCTACCCTTTCTAGTCCTGTTAGAATTTTATAAGTCTGCATAAGATACCCCCCCTCAGTCATCAGAACTCCAACGAAAACAATCCTAACCTAGTCAATCTCTCATCGTATGTCAGTCCCGCCATCCCTGGAATCAGCCTGGTAAACCATCGCTGCACTCCCTCTAGAGCAAGAGCATCCTTCCTTAGATAAATAAATGATAGCCCAAATAGTGATGCTTACATCCCAAATTATTTTTAAAATTGCATTAAGCTCCTGTTGAATTGAATTAGCTTTATTGTCACATGTACTGAAATGAAAAGTGAAAAGTTTATAAATTGCACTTACACTGCCATCTTAGGTAAAAAGGTGCCTAGGTACAATCCTTAGAATAGTTGGTGGTACAGAAATGCTGTCACCAGCTTAAACCTCAACATTTGGACATGGAGAGTCTGCAATGAGAGGTAGTAATAATCTCTTGTCACATTACTTCATTGCTGATGTAGATTTTTTTGCATTGGATATTTTTATCCTACTGTTTGCACTGACTTTTCCCCCTAAGGTGCTGGCTATTTGATAGTTTGGGTCAATGGGTGCCAGGAACGCTCCCGGAACTCATCCTAAACCTCATTTCTCCTAATGAGTACAAGAGGTCATTCAATGGCAGGAGACATCACAGCCAAGCCGGTCTCTATCTTTATTTCTACGTATGTACACTTTTTAGCAGAGATCACTGGACAAAAATTAGGCTACTTGCGTTTCCTTGTAACAAACTGTAGCCTTTTTCCAAATCTTCCTCACTCACCTCTATCCCATCATTCCCTCCTCTAACTCTCTCTCACTTCCCTTTCTTTTCCCCTTTAACCAACACAGACCAGTAATGGGTGATCTCTTTCATCTCAGTTGGAGTTGCACAGCGCAGTTTTTCTTTTCCAAATCAGTGCATAACCTGAGATTTTTCCACTTTGAGCATGCTGCACAAGATACAAAATTAATGGGGCATTGTATTGTAGAGTCTGTGAGACAGAATAAAGCATTATTAATGTTGGCTCCTCTAACATTGTGTGTCCCTTGCCTGAACTGGTAGCAATTGAACTTCCTCAGTTACTTCTGATGGTACAGGCCAAGCTGTTGAGTTATGAACCCTTCATACCGTCCTACTAATGGCATAGAAGAAGTTATTCCATCATAATTGTGTCTTGCACCTTTTTGCTCTCTGACAGAAGAAATTCAACTGGACTGCCCAAGGAGGAATGAACAATTTGAAATTTTCCAAAGCTAGTCCTAAATTAAACATTGTAAGAGCAATTATACAGCTATGACCGGTATTTGATCTGTGAGAATTGTGGGTGAAAATGTTTAATTTAAATGCTTTGTTCTGAAAGTTTGAATAAAGTCTTATTGCTCAACAAAAAATTGTTATATTCTGTGCAATAGCATAATAAATATTGGGTGTCACAAAGCAATGCAAAGCGGAGTATGGCTATAGAATGTCAGCCAGTATTTTCTTCTGCAAACGTAGGTCAAGCCACCTACAAATTGAAGGAGAAATTTTACAGACAGGAGAGGCAGTAGGTAAGACAGAAATGATTCAATTTTATATAAAAGCAAAATACTGCTGGAAACCTGAAACAAACAGAAACTGCTAGAAAAAAACTCAACAGGTCTGGCAGCACCTGTGGAGAGAGAAGGAGAGTTATGTTTCAAGTCCAATATGACTTCTTCAGATAATAAGCTTTAGTACCACAAGCAAACAAGAGTGAAAAAAGTTATCCATGAAATCTGCCCCAAATCAATATTGATTGATTCCTGCTGGAAAGTCCCAAAGTGTGGATTATAAGTGAGGATATGATCAAGGTTGGCTGTGATGATCCCTATGGTAAATCAACCAGCTGCGATCCACTGTTCAAGTTTACACATGAAGAACAATTGTTTTTGAGAAATTCTGGCAGGGTGCTGGAACCAAACCCAACTAAAGTCAATCCCTTATATCCACAAGTCATGCAAACAGGAAAGGAAACATAAGCGGTAGTAAAGGAGAGCAGTCACTATGCAGTCCTTTTCACGTTATCATATTTTCAGCAAGAAAGGGTACTGATCCAACATTATACTTTGCTTAGTTAAATCAAGACGAAGAGAATCAAATATTACATGCCAAAATTCTTTCTCACAAAAGTTTAATGAAGCAACAGCTACAACTGGAATTCATTTCTGTTATTTTTCCTACATGCACTCCTAATGCAGCTGGAAAACCCTAAGAGATTTTCTCAAGTTGAGTGAATGCTAACTTCCATACCTTTTGCTCTTCACTGCTTCATGTCACAAAATCCAATGTGGCACCTTTCATGTTTTTCCAAGGTTTATTTCTCTCCCAATTCTCTGACTGAAATCACCAATGAAAATCCCTTTTGTACACAGATCAGTGATCACTCACACTGGAGTGGAATTCCTCCTTCGGTCTCATTTATTGCTCCTACATTTGGGGCATACATATGATGAATGTGATGTACTATTTCTGGGGTCATCATGAGCCAAAGGATTATGAGGTGATTTCTCACTCATAGAGGGAATCGCTGAAGTAGTCAACTAGCTTGCTTCTAATGACATAACCAACCCCATGGAATCTGTGTTCTACCTCAGATTTTCCCTTATAGATGAAGGTGCAACTGCCACCTTAGCCAGCTGATCTTCTCCAGTCCACCATGTCTCATTCAGGACATCAGTGTCAATTTCATCATGCCAGAGTTCCTGAGCTATTACAACAGTGTAAAGTTTAGCTCTGTTGTTGATGTGGCTGTTCATGACAGCCCTGATATTCCAGGTCCCAAACTTCATTTTGAGGGGGTTGAAGATTGCTGTGCATCTTTTAACATGGTATGGCCATTGCATACTGACTACCACATGGTCCTGACGGAACATAATTATTATTAAACAACAGCCAGGACCCACAAACTGTACTAAAATAAATTACAACATCATATTTTTAGTAGTGGAGGTTGAGAGATAAATATTAACCAGAATAGTGAGAACTCCCCTCCTCTTCCATGGAAATCTTTTACATCCACCCGGCGAAGACAGCACCCCTGACCTTACAGCACTCCTTCACTCCTCTTCACTCAATTGTCAGTTGGATGTTTAATGTGAAACTAGAACCCTGGGCACTGCACTACAGCTGACATTTACTAACAAAAGCATGCTCTTCCAGCCATGTATAGTCACACTGCAAATGTAACCTTCTCCTCCAGTTAATTTTTGCAGTAAAGAACTAAACATTTTTTCTTTGTACATATAGTGTTGTTATACAGTCAGCTGGGTGCTTCCTCTCCCATGCTAGCCATGACCATAAGAATAAACCTGAAAATATTAGCAAATAAAAATTTGGTTCCCCTCCCAATTTGGCTCAGTGGGTTCATGCAACTTGTGGTGTGGCATTGAGCCGTGCAGACCACAAATGTCCGGTCTAATTTCTTTGACTGTGCTGAATTCACTAACCTCATGTGAACGGTCTTAGGCTCAACAACCTTGGCAGAGGGAATATCATAGAGTCATAGAGCTGTACAGCATGGAAACAGACCCTTTGGTCCAACTCATCCATCCCAACCAGGTATCCTAAATTAGTCTAGTCCCATTTGCCAGCATTTGGCTCATATCACTCTAAACCCTTCCTAATCACATACCCATCCAGATGCCTTTTAAATATTGTAAAAGTACCATAAAATTAATTCCGCTGATGCATTTAATTTATCTGAGTTGACTATAGTGGTAAGGTACAAACAATTGCATTTTAAACACATTTTGTGCAAAATCTGTGCTCACTTCATATGTTAGTCTGCCTTGTTTTTAAAAATGCAAGAGCATGAAATGAACCCAAGAGTTCAGAAATTACTTCATACCTGTCAATTCCGACTATGCATAAGTATTTTGGAAGAAGATATTATTGACAGCAGCTTTATGTAAAACACAGTTTCATGTTTCTAAATGCTCCTGCAACAACAAAAAACAGGGCTGACTAATTTAACATTTTCAAAGATTTACTGCCAAATAAATATTTACAATATTTGGATTCTATTCAAAAAAAGGGAATTGTAAATTGTTTCAATTGTTTCCCAATTTAAGTAGCAGGCAAACTCTTGAACTAGATGCATGGTGGACATCTCTCATCATTCTTGCCAGATTCTGAGCAGCTTTGCAGATACAGAGGTTGTTGGGCAAGATACTGTTTTTAAATATTGATGTGCCAATTTTAGCTATAAAGTTGGGGAACTGACATCACCAGTGGATGGCCCTGTTCTGCATCAAAGACATTCACCCCACCAACAAAATCCACTGAGATTCTTTATACCTCAATATAAATATAATTTTAAAAGCCACAGCAGGGTATAAACAGGCAGTAATTAAACTAATATGTGATCCATCTCAAATGAACATTACAGCAGTGCAGTTCCCCTCCCAATTTGGCTCAGTGGGTTCATGCAACTTGCGGTGTGGCATTAAGCCATACAGACCATAAATGTCCAGTCTAATTTCTTTGACTGTGCTGAGTTCACTAATCTCATTTCAACAGTCTTAGGCTCAACAACCTGGGCAGAGGGAATAACATAGAGTCATAGAGCTGTACAGCATGGAAACAAACCCTTCGATCCAACTGATCCGTCCCAACCAGATATCCTAAATTAATCTAGTCTCCTTTGCCAGCATGTGGCTCATATCACTATAAACCTTTCCTATTCATATACCCACCCAGATGCCTTTTAAATATTGTAACTGAACCAGCCTCCATCACTTCTTCTGGCTGCTCATTCCATTCACACACCACCCTCTGTGTGAAAAAGTTGCCCGTTTTAAACCGTTCCCCTCTCACCTTAAATTCCTCTAGTTCTGAACTCACCCACCCCGGGGAAAATACCTTAGCTATTCACCCTATCCATGCCCCTAATGATTTCATAAACCTCTATAAGGTCACCCCTCGGCCTCCAATGCTCCAGGAAAAATAACCCCCGTCTATTCATCCTCTGCCTTTGGCTCAAACCTCCAACCCTGGCAACATCCTTGTAAATCTTTTTTGAACCCTTTCTAGTTTCACAACATTCTTCCTAGAGCAGCGAGACCAGAATTGCAAGCAGTATCCCAAAAGTAACCTAATCAATGTCCTGTACAGCCGCAACATGACCTTCTAGCTCCAATACTCAATACACTGACCAATAAAGGCAAGCATACCAAATGCCTCCTCCACTATCTTGTCTACCTGTGACTCCACTTTCAAGGAACTTATTGGTGGCGCGGTGGCTCAGTAGTTAGCACTGCTGCTTCACAGCGCCAGGAACCTGGGTTCAAGTCCATCCTCGGGCGACTGTCTGTGTGGAGTTTGCACGTTCTCCCTCTGTCTGTGTGGGTTTCCTCGAGGTGCTCCAGTTTCCTCCCATAGTCCAAAGATGTGCAGGCTAAGTGGATTGACCATGCTAAATTGCCCATAGTGTTCAGGGATGTGTAGATTAGATGGGTTATAGGGGGATGGATCTAGGTGGGATTCTCTGAGGGTCAGTGTAGACTTGTTGGGCCGAAGGGCCTGTTTTCACACTGTAGGGATTTTATGATGATTATGAACCTACACTCCAAGGTCTCTTTATTCAGCAACATTCCCCGTGACCTTACCATTAAGAGTATAAGGCCTGCTCTGATTTGCCTTTCCATTTATATAAATTAAACTATTGATCACTCCTCGGCCCACAGGCCCATTTGATCAAGGTCCTGTTGTACTCTGAGGTAACCTTCTTCACTGTCCACTACACCTCCAATATTGGTGTCATCTGTAAACTTACTAACCATACCTCCTAAGTTCACATCCAAATCATTTATATAAATGATGAAAAGCAGTGGACCCAGCATCAATCCATGTGGCACACCGCTGGTCACAGGCCTCCAGTCTGAAAAGCAACCCTCCACCACCACCCTCTGTCTCCTACCTCCGAGCCAGTTCTGTATCCAAATGGCTAGTTCTCCTTGTATTCCATGTGATCTAACCTTGCTAACCAGTCTACCATGTGAAACCTTGTTGAATGCTTTACTGAAGTCCATATATATCAAGGCTTCATCAATCCTCTTCGTTACTTCTTCAAAAACCGCAATCAAATTCCCATGCACAAAGCCATGTTGACTATCCCTAATCATAGAACATAGAACATAGAACATTACAGCGCAGTACAGGCCCTTTGGCCCTCGATGTTGCGCCGACCTGTGAAACCAATCTGAAGCCCATCTACTCTAAACTATTCCATTATCATCCATATGTTTATCCAATGACCATTTAAATGCCCTTAAAGTTGGCGAGTCAACTATTTTTGCAGGCAAGGCATTCCACGCCCTTACTACTCTCTGAGTAAAGAACCTACCTCTGACATCTGTCCTATATCTATCAC